TTATACTACACGTGACCTGCTTTGCCTTTGGTGTCGTCATCGTGGTATTTTTGTTGTTGCGGGCTGCTGCCGTTGGCCAGGGTCGACTAGGATGTCCTAGCTAGAGCAGTAGCTGCTATATTTTCACACACTATTTTTACAAGTGTCTACAGTTACGCACACACACACACACTCACACACACACATTCGCAGTCGACTCTTTATTGCGTTGCTGTTGTTGTTGTTTCTGTTTTTGTTGGTGTTGTTGTGCACTGTATGCACAAATTACCATGCTCAGGACTGAGAGACTCATTCGCATGCTCCTCCTCATCCACAGCCTCGTCCTCGTCTCCATCCTCATCAGCAACCTCAAACTCAGGCACATCGTCATCGTGCTCATCGTCATCGCGGCGTAGCGTGAAACGAGAAGAAAAACTTTGTGCACATAACAACAAAAACTTAAATAACAAAAACAACAACAACAAAACACCACCATTGGCGGTGGCGTTGAAAAGAAAGAAGATGTATGTATAGCAGCCATGGAAAGTAGAAAGGCAAGCACAGAGGAAGGCGCAAGCACAAGCACAAGCTAAAAAGCTGCAGCTTGCCATCGCAATGGGTTTCATTATGCGCATTTTCTACAACTTTTTTGCTATTGTTGTTGTTGCCGCTGTTGGGTGTACTGCCTCTCTCTACTTTATCACATCTTCTTCTTAATTTTCATCTTGTTGTTGTTGTTGTAGTTTCGTGCCGCTTGCCTTTCGCCGCGCGTTCGCATTGCATACTTAAAGGCGTTGCTGTTATTTCTGGTGTTCTGCTGCTGCTGCTCCTGCTGATGCTACTACTGTATTTGTTGTTGTTGTTGTTGTCGCTGCCGAGTTTGCTTTGGCGCAGACACTGAAATGCAATTTGCATAAGTTTCACAGCTTATTCGTTTATATAGACCTATATAAAAATAAATACTATGTGCATAACCCAAGTGTGCGAGCGTGCCACTGAGAATGTGTGCGTACTCGTAGTAGGTATAAATGTATATGTGTATCTGTGTCTGTGTATGCGTGAAGGTAGCGTGTGCGTAAAGCACATTAAGTATGTGTTACCTTGTTGTTGTTGTTGTTGTTCTTGTTGGCAATTTCAAACGAAACTGAGGCCAGCAGCGTAAATAAAATTCCATTTTTGTTTATTGTCTCGTAAAAAATTAAAACGACATTGTAACAAATACATGAGAGCATTGCATGCTGACAGAATCTGCCATATTATGTTTCAACATATTTATATACATACCCATTTCATGTTTAAAATGTTATTAAATGGGAAATGTGTTTTATTGCTGTTTGTATAATTACCTGAGTAATGTCGTGGGTGCAACGATCGTGACGGGACCTTTCAAACCTGCAGATGTTCACATCTAGCCGCAAGGCATTTTCAATTCAGAAGATGACAATTTTTAATTCGATTGGTGCTTGCAATTTCAATCAACAACACTCCGGGTTAAGCTGTGTGAATTGTGTGGCATAGATTTACACATAAACTGCTTCTCACATGGACAACTACGTATATAATATGTATGTTGCCTGATCCGGTGGCGGCAAACGAAATAATATCTATATCTATGCAGAGATAATCAAAAAACAATATCTAATATTTAATATCTCTCGCTTATAAGCCCAAAAAAACACAATAATAATATAAACCACTGCCGAGCAGGCAAACAAAAAACTTAAACAGCATCAGATTTCTAAAAGTGTGCAGCGACAGCATCCGGTTTCTGCGTATTTGAGCAGTGTTGAAGTTTAACGCTAACTAGACAGCTAGGGAAATCGATACAAGTTTACATAACATATGTTTTGAAACAAAATCGTATAAGAATTCACTAAGCGATAAACTATCTTAATTACATTATACATGAATTCATCTTCAAAAGAGAGATATGGAATTTTGTTTAAAGCTTCTTTGATATTAAAGCATCATTTTCACAGTATATTTTGTAGAAATTTTTGCAGCAACTGAATACATTTTGAAAATACTTTACAATAAACTATGCCTAATAAAGTTTGTTATTTTATTAGGGCTGGTAAGTTTACTTAAATTTATAATCAAATCCGGACATGCCTACGTATTTGTCACACGACTATTTAGGGAATACCAACTGTTGCTTGGGAAAAATCCTGCCAAATGCTTGGCTGAATTTCTCAGAGACAAAACAAAAAAGGAGGATTTCCCAAACTCCCAATGGGCCCTAAAACGATCGCTGCTCGATGCGAGTCGATGGGTGGTTTGGGTAAGTAGGGCATTGGTATGGATGTGGGCATGAATGTGGGTGTGCCTCACGGGCAAATCACTCATTACACACTTACGCTTGCACGCACAGAGGCAAAGAGGATGATGATGTGGGGGCCGATGGTGGCGCACATATCACAAATTATGTCAATTTGCTGCTGCCGGCGTCGCCGTCGCAGTCGCTGCCGCTGCCTGCTTTGGGCCAAAGACATCAGCCAGCAACTTACTGGGCGAGTGGATGATGGGCACATGGCTGGGAAAACTAGGAGGATGGTGGCGAGGATGGGGTGTTCTGTCTACTCCTTGAGAATTTGACATCTTACATGGGAATTACAAACGTACGAAAATTGCTACCATGTTCTGCGACAGCCTACACACCAACTCTCTCCCTCACTCATTCTCTATCTATGTATCTACCTAGGTACCCGTATATGTATATGTGCGGAACTGCGCGAGTGTTTGTATCTACTCGCATGTGTCTGTGCATCCGTATATGCTTGTGAGGCGTTTTCGTGTGCAAATTTTTGTAGTGTGCCATAAATTATACTGCTGGGAATTGCTTTTCTATAAAACGTGTGCATATTAAATAAATGTCAACAATTTGGCGAGGCCACACAAATACTCGTACACACACACTCACATTCTCACACAAAAGGCACAAAGAAACAACGTTGTAAACTGAAATTATGCGTAAGGAGCTTTGAGCTTTCATCAGTTTTATTTGGAGCTTAAATCAAATTACGCGTAACATGATTGCGGAGTCCCATTGAAAAACATATTAATGAGCATTTATTGATGGAGTAAGACAGGTGAGCTGCTGGTGGGGCCTTTACAATATCTCTGTGGGTCAAGGACAGCTACGAGTATTTGTGAAGTATTGAAGTTTTCGTTTAAGAATTACATTAAATATCAATAGAATGTATATCTATTAATCTCCATACCTTTAAAGTAACTCTTGTTTTACTCTTCATTGCTTTAATTTCGAACACGAATATGTTTCATAGATAAGCTGACTGTTTAAAAAAACTTAGAAAAAACTCAAGTCTAATTGATAATCAAGTTAATTTAGCTATTGAGATCAAGAATACTAACAATGGAGAGAAAGAGAGGCAGAGAAGAGAGAATACGACGATCAGCGACAACAGGAAGACGTCAAGCAGTCAAAGACAGACGTGTCGAGCAAAGAGATGAGTTCGGCACTTGGAACGTTGGGCCAAGTCGTGCACTGTAAAGCTTATATTAAGCCACTGTAATCGATGTAAACCAATTTAATACTTATCATTCACACATTTTCATTAAATAATGCTAGAATCTACTCAAGGGAGAAGCTGCTCCCTTGACTACTGCCAATTGACCTGCAATAACACCATCATATCCTCAGACCTATCGCAATTATTTCACTTCATGTCTTGTGAACCCCTAAGGTGAAAAAACTCGTGTTCTCACATTAGTTGGCACCATTTCCAATTCAATGTCAATTAATATTTACATTTGTTCAGCGATATATGAGCCTTGATAATACAAGCAGCCACTAGCGTTCGACTGAATGACCTTGTCCCAAATGGACTGACAAACAAATGAGCAATTAAGATACTTTTACTAGACACATACTCGTACACAAATACTCACATAGACAGAAGACTATGCGCACATTGTGCCATGCAGTCAAGTTTAATCTAGCTCAGTAACCATTGTCATTTACTGGGATTGGCTTCACGTTTATTCATTCCCACCCATTCCCCATCACCATCACCATCACCATCTCCATCTCCACTCCAGTCTCGCTCGGCAAACCTGAGAGCAGACTTCAGCGTTGAAGCAAACGTCGCGCTTAGCATTTATCTATTTTCATTGACATCAATTGGCAGTTTAAATGCAAAAGATGAGGCCGCAATGAAATCGCAGCCAGTCAGGCATGGCTGTAGAATTGAAGAGCTAGCCGGGCAACCACCTCATCGTCGCCGTCATTGTCGACGTCATCGTCATTCTCATCATTGTCCTTCTCGTCCTGTTGTCCTGTTGTCCTGCCGTCCCCCTGTCCTTCCGTCGTCGTCAATTTGGCATTAATATTCCCACTCACGTACTTGGTTGTGATTATGCGACGACTATGACGATGACGAAGCCAACATCAACGCTGGCGATGGAAGTGGCGGCTACTGCGGTTTGGGTTGGCACACTGGGCGTGGCCAACAGGCGCGAGCGCTCAATTCACTTGAGGTTGAGCTTTGAGGTCGGTTGTCGTGTGGTTTGCCTTGCGTGTTGCCGGCGACGCCGCCACTGCCGCCGCTACTGCCGCCGCCATTACCGCCACCACCATCGTGACAGTTAAAAGGCAACGTTTTGTTGACATTTGTAGATGTTTAAGAAATCGAAGGCAAACAGAAGTCAAGTAATTGCACACACACGCACACACGTACGCACGCATCCACGCAAAAGCCCACACACACACACACACACACACACACACACACACACACACACACACACACATACAAAACAGACATTTTAATATTGTGTTAATGACTTTGGCAATAGTTTTTCGTGCTGCTGTCAAGACATTTACAACTTGTCCCCCTTTTAAGTCTTCTTTTTCCCAAGACTGCATTTGTTCTTGTTGCTGTGGTTGTATTGTTGTTGTTTTTGTTGTGCTCGTTGACACCACAATTGTACCTCAGAGACCATTTTATATAAAAATTCAAATCAAACACACAAATAAAAATTGTTTTGCTCTTCTTTTGCAGTTTCTACCGTGGCCGTGGAGGCCGTGCTGGGACGCACCGCATCCTTGCCATGCGACATTGAACCGGAAGCGAAGGATGATCGCGTATACATGGTGCTTTGGTTTCGTGAGAGCGCAGGCAAACCGCTTTACAGGTGAGTGGGTAGCAATGGAAATGGGTCGGCTGAATATGGACTTAAGAATGGGAAAATAAAAGTGATTATTGAACTGAGCTCTGAATTTTTGGCTCTGTTCAGTTTCCTCTATCATATTACATCTTTATAATAAATCACTAACGGATGCTAATGGCGCAGACTTAGTAAAATTGCATGTAAAGTTTAAATAACATTATAAATAAGTTTCAAATTTCTTTTTGATCTAGAAATTCTATAATAGTGTCGATAAAAATTTACGGCAACTTAGTCTCGCGGGAGTCAGTATTAGATATTTCAATAACAATTAAAATCTAGTTGAAAACCATATTTATATATTTATTTGTATATTCTTTTTTTTATTTATTTATGTCAACAAACATTGACGTCGACATAGGAAATATATAAAAATTATAAAAAGCATCTTATAAGCTAGAAAATCCTAATCCTAAAGAGTAATCTAATCAAATACAATAGTATCTAATATCTGTCTTTCGTATTAACGCCTCGGGTAGCATAAAATCGTAGTCGAACGGACCAACGATTTTAAATGAACTGTCGTATTATTTTGATGGCCAGGTAATGCTTTTGTTTCCGAAGATTATAATGTTTAGGCGGCCTTTATCATTTCTGGAAATATGAAGTCGTTTAAAATCTTTCGATGTCTAGCACCCTAAATGTTGATAATTTTACGTTATGTTAAATATACTCGTATGTACACTGGTATATACATAAACTTATTAGAGTGGCTTGGGCATTTTATAGGCATGAAGAAATTTAAAGTATAACAGGCATATATATTAGTGCACAATCAGTCCATAAAGGCAAATAGAAGTTCCGATAAACAGCAGATATATAGTACATTTGGGTATTGCTTGTACCTCAATGCTATGCTTTATACATTTTTCTATTGAAAACTATAATTCATGGCACAAAGAGTGGAATGCGCGAGTAGTAAATAATTGAGGCATAAAACTCAATTTAATAAAACACTTCTTTTTCTCAGGATGGTTGAACAAGCTTGAACGACTTAAAGCGTTTCCAGTTAAAGACAACTGTCTTTCGTATTGCTTGGTCGCCTGCCATTTGATTTATGCGCTCTGGTCGCACATCCATGAGCAACGGCGCCGAGTTCATAATTTTGAAATAATTTATTATTTTAATAACATCATCAATATTAACTCAACTCAACTCTCGTGTGGGAGCCTGATGCTGGGTTGTACGTTGTAGCTACCACCTGGCCAAGCTCTGGCCCAAAACAAAAGCGAGGTCAGGCTAAGAGGCAGCGTGAGCTCATATATTAGCCGCAGGGCAGACGGAAGGGTAGGACAACAACAAGGAAATAATAATGGTTGCTCAAGTGAAAACTGTTTTGGCGGCAACTTTGATTATTGGATGAGGTTCAAAAGGGAGGCCCAACAGAGGGCGCTGCTGTTATTTATAGAGCTGGCGACGTTGGCGCTTAGGTTTAATATGTAGCACATTATAAGCAGACATCGATATCCTTTAGCCTTGTCAATTTTGCTTACATGTGCTTCCTTTTCAATATGTTACCATGCCGTGCGCCAAAAGTGCCCCGTGGTTTCCATCCACACACACATACATGCGTGCATGTGCATACATACATACGAGTATAGTGTATGCATGTGTGTTTGTTTGTATGTGTGTTTGTTTGTATGTGTGTAGTCGTACAATGTAGCAGGGACGAAGGCACGTGTATATCAAGGGCAAGCGCGAGCTGTTCACGCTGTTGCTGCCGCCGTCCGTTGTTGTTGTTATTATTGTTGCTGGCGTTTTTGTTGTTGTTGTTTCTCTGTGTGGGAGCGTGTCTGTGTCAGTGCACTCAATTGGAAGCAATAAATTTCACTGTTCCACAGACAATGCACGAACGTATGATGGAGATAAGAAGAAGGGGAAAAGGTGGTGGAAAAGTAGGGATAGAATTGCCACAAGCCAAAAATGTTTGCCGAAAACTAGAAAAACGTCGAAAACAATAATGTCGCAAAAATTTCCGACTTTATAACCAAAAATATCCGAAAGTGATTCCAATTCGATTTCCTTTCTTGGAAAAGCAAACGGCAATACACAAACAAACACACTCACACATCCACATCCACAGGAAGAAAATAAAACAAGCAAATAAATAAAAGATAGTAAACAAGCAACAGCAGCAACGGCAACAGCTACAAGAACAAGAATCATAGCAACAACAACAACAATGAGCAGCTAAGCCAGCAGGCGGGCGGTCGCTTATGGGGCATCAAAATTGCGAGGGCAGCCAAACGCAGCGTGAAATCGAAGGCAGGTTGAATGGATTCAAAATAAAACAGACAAAAAGAGAATAAAACACAACAAAAGGCGAATAATTGACTACGTCGAATTTTACATACACTACTTCGCATCCATGTCTGAGATTGTCAAGGCGATCAAAAAGATAGGATGTGATGCATGTAAATAATGCTGCAAATTTATACTGGAAAAATGTAGCAGGGCAGCTATTATATGGTTTTTATATAGCCCTGTCGATGCTGCGGAAAAATGCCACTGGCTGCATAGACTTTTTTGAATCTTCAAAATCCGATTTATGCGGCACGGATTGTATAAAAAAGCGTGCGAAGAAGAAACGCGACTTTAAAAATTATATTCATACAGTTTCTAATGAAATTCATGTAGATATAAATATGTATATCTTTTTATATTAGGCCTTTCATATAGAAATATGCAAAATTCGCTGGATTATTAAATATTTATTAAGTATTTCATCTGCAACTTCTGTAAAACATAAACTTGGGAGAGTGTGACGCGGTTGGAACTATTTCCAATTTCAAGTTCGTTCAATTGTATTAACATTTAGCTTCACCAGCTTGTTGGTTCTCTTTTATTTATCTCGCCCACTACTTTATTGACGTTCACAACTTAGGGTATTTAAACAAAAGCAACTATCAAATATGCAAGAATTTTGCACACCAATTTGTGCAGCTGTGAAGAGTAAATCCCAAAGATCATCTTTGTAGAAGTATAGACATTTTGCTTTAAAGGAAAATTTAAATTTATGCTCAAATTAAATGCCAGTCTAAAGCAACGATCATAAATGCAAATAATTTTCTTATAGATTTGTTGACGTTAAAAGTAAATCGCAAATCTGGTCGGTAGACAGAATATTTTAAATTTATATTTATTGTACTATAAAATCAGACAAATTTATGGGCAAATGTTTTCCCAGTATGACCATAGCGTTACAAACAACATATTTAATCTAGAACACTCCCCAAAAATATACATATGTACGAGTATAATATACGAATGAAAGGCTCAAAATTCAAAAAAATGCACAGAAATTGAAAGAACCATGTGGCGTGCAACATGTATGTATTCCCAGGAAATTGTTTCTTCCTTTTTAGGTTTTGTGGCGCACAGGCTTTCCTAGAACCAAGGCTATAGCTCTGTATTTGACAGCTTCACACTTACGGTGCCAACAATCTATGAATGAAGTGGAAGAAAAAAGCGGCACACAAAACAAAGGCAACTTTAGATCTCGACAGAAGAAAAATTTAAAAAGTTATAATGTTAGCTCCTTTTTATATTTTTCGCTGTTGCTTCGTCGACTTTTATTTTAGGGTTAGGTACATTAATTCCCTTTGCAACCTTTGGCTTTTTCGCTTTGTTGTTGCTGCTGGTGATGAGATTATTTCGTTGGTTTTTTTGTAGCCCTTCTCACAACGATTTGTTTTCTGACTTTGACCCTTGAAATGCGATTTTCATAAGATTTTTATGCATACAAGTATATACGTACACATTTATTTGTTATGAATTGAATGCGATTATGCTTATGCCTTTGTTATGGCATCACAAACCAGAATTGAGAGACCCATGATTGAAATTAACATTGGGGCATTGGGGCTGTGCACCTGCAAAAAACGAGGCCATGGCCGCGTCTGACATGCCAACTGTCACGTTCGATATTGAAAGGCATCAATAGCATTGGCGGCCACAAAGCCTACATAATAAACAATGGCAACGGCAACAGTAAAGGCAAAGGCAAAGTCAAAGGCGGTCGCGCAAGGCCGTGACGATCCGTGACGAGCGAGCTGGGGCCCACCACAATCAAGGTTAATTGATTTTTAAAGCCAGTCTGCCTCAATGTTTTTCGTGGCATTGCCTCTCTGTTCCAGTTTTTTGTTCGTTTTTCCTACCATTGTCTCTGAGCTTAAAGCGGTCTAGTGCAATTAAATTTCATGGAAATGGATATTACGATGCACAGTGCATTAAACGAACGCATTCTCCCGCTAAAGAATTTTAAGCAAAACTTTTCACACGCAATTAAAATATAAATTTTGACTTTTGTTAATTTTATCCAAATTGGTCAATTCGAAAAAAAAATTAATAAGCGAAGTTTGTCTGGGTACAGGGTATTTGATGAACGTGTTCATTTCTAGAAAGTAGCTTTCGAAACATTAAGTTATTAATTTGTTTTTATACAAGACATCAATCTTAGTGAGAACATTGGGAATAGCCCTTTTGGGATTTCAATTTCTGAAGTGGAAAAAGAAACCCAGCATAGCAATTTCAGCTTTCCGATAGCCCACTTTAAGAATGTATTGGAAAAATCTGTCAAAGCTAATCAGTCTAATCAGTTCTTGCACCATATTAGAAAATACTATTTAAATTTATAAAGACTAGTATATATGCATTATCCAATAGGGACGTTCTGCTGCTTCCTTAAACATTCGCCACACTGTGCCGTGTTACATTGTGGATGGCATAAGTGGCCGCAGTCAGCTGTTAACTGGGCTGTCAGGAGGTGTGCGTGCGTGTGTGATGCCGACCAATAATCCGTCTGTGGAACGCTAACTGCAATAATCGCCAGCATTGCCTTCGCTTCAGTCGTTGGGGTAGAGCGGTGGTGTAGTCTGCTTTCGGGTGGAGGCAATCGAAAGTGCATTCACTTGCAGTCACCGTGCCATTGGCCCCATGCATACCTACAGCTTGAGAATCCGCCGCCA